GAGAGAGAGAGAGATTTTACATGTTTGCAGATGTATTTATACTCACTGTTTGATAGTGCCTTTTGGCCTTTCCTCTTCTCCTCCAAACTTGTCTTGCTGCTTGCTGTGTTGTTCTACTCTGATGACCTTCTTTACATCCATATATTTCTAGCCTTTCCTTGTAGTGTGAGATCCGATTCGGAGTCTTCTTCCCAAATTTCCCAGTACACGTTTGAGGTTTCTGCGATCTGAATCTTCGGATAGCCTCCATGAACAACTGGCTAGCCTTTTCTCTCTCTCCACAGGAGCTCCCTCCCTCACAGTCTCACCAGAGCAACTCACCATCTGCTGCTGTTTCCCATCTCATCTCAGGTGACGATGTCTCTGCTAGCTGCTACGGTCTCTCCGCCGACTCCACGTCGGAGCCTCCGATGGGAATACCCACCCTAAGACCGGATGTCCCCTTTGGTGTCTTGGAGGCCTTCAACAGACCCTACCATCAAACCCAAGGTCAATGTTTCCCCGGCGCTCAAGAACTAATCTCTTCACTGTTCTCGTTTCCTTGGTCTCATTTGTTTGTTCTTGTGATCCCTTCACTTGCAGATTGGAACATGAAGTGTTTGGATTTCAAGGGAGGCTCTTCGGAGCTATCCATGCTGGTTGGATCAAGCAGTACTAACCAGAGCAACATGGTGGAAGACCAGCCCAAGCTGGAAGACTTCCTTGGTGGCAATTCGTTCTCCGATCATGACCACAAAGTACTCCCTGCTGGACTTTCCGGTGCGTATAGTAGCTCCGGCGACGAGTACATGTTCTCCAACTCTTCATTCCAGGTGCAAGACACCTCCATGGTGACATCCACCGCTCACGATGGAGCCCTAATGAACGATGCTAACGGTGGTTCTTCGAGCAACTCTATCGGACTGTCGATGATCAAGACATGGTTGAGGAACCAACCCAATATCCCTCAACAGCAGGCCAGTATTAACAGCAGCAACGACATGGCCGGGGTTACCGGGACCAACTGCGGCGGCGCGATGATGGCCGATGTTATTGGCTCGTTGACGAACTCCCAGGGCCTGTCACTCTCGATGAGCACAGGGTCACAGTCGAGCTCCGCCTTGCCCCTACTGGCGGCTGGCCCGAGCGGCGGAGGCGAGAGTTCGTCCTCCGACAATAAGCAGAAAGGGATTGGAGGAAGCCTCGATGCACAGACTGGTGCAATGGAAGCAGTTTCTCGGAAATCCGTGGACACATTTGGGCAGAGAACTTCCATTTACAGGGGCGTGACAAGGTGTGGCATGTCTTTCTCAGATGTAATATAGCATCATTTGTCTGTGATTACGCTGATTTTTCTGTACATTTTGTACCACAATCTTTAGATAAGAGCAAAGCAAAACCCTAAATCATCATTCAGAGGGAGATCTAATGTTTCTCTTATTGAAGATAGATCTCATACATGGTTTAATCTTAACCCTCATCTTATACAAACTATCGTCTACTCTACTCATTCACCTCTGTACTGATCTGATCCATGCTTGGGTGGTGAAAATATAGATGTTCATCTATATATAAATAGCACATTCTAACATCTAAATCGAATGATTTTTGGTATACAATTATCTATGAAATGCCTCACATTTTATCGCCTTATTATTACAGGCATAGATGGACAGGTAGATACGAGGCTCATCTGTGGGATAATAGCTGTAGAAGAGAAGGGCAGACACGCAAGGGTAGACAAGGTACATAACCTTGCAGAATCTACAAGCAGATCTTTCACATATACAATGAGTGTTGATTTGCTGCTCTCTCTTGTTTCTGTCACTCTTGGTTACAATGTGCTGCGAATGAACTCATTTTCCAAACCCTGCAGTTTATTTGGGTAAGCATATGCTGTTCTTCATTTCAACTGGAATTAAGGGTGATAGATATACAATTTTCATTTACTTGTGTTGGTGATCTGTAGGTGGCTATGACAAAGAAGAAAAGGCAGCTAGGGCTTATGATTTGGCTGCTCTCAAGTACTGGGGTCCTACTACTACAACAAATTTCCCAGTATGTCTTTGTTTCCCCTTCCATATCAGCCTAAGAACAAAGACATGTTAGCATTTTGCATACTCTCGAGATGTTCATCTTCTGTATGTTCAGATAAGCAACTACGAAAAAGAGTTGGAGGAGATGAAGCACATGACGAGGCAGGAATTTGTTGCGTCTCTTAGAAGGTAGTCTTTGATTTCTGATTCTTACAAAGAGAATGTGGATCGAGTGGGAAGCTTTCATTTGGATTCAATGATCAGACGTCGAAATCTTCATGCAGGAAGAGCAGTGGATTCTCCAGGGGTGCATCAATATATCGTGGAGTGACTAGGTAAATCTTTTTCCTTCTATGATGCCATTTTACAGTTCAACACAACACAATAAGCTTCTTTGTTTCTTGGAAGAAAGATTCACCATGATGCATACATTTTGCAGGCATCATCAGCATGGAAGATGGCAAGCAAGGATAGGAAGAGTAGCAGGGAACAAAGACCTCTACTTGGGAACCTTCAGTATGTTTCTTTAAGCAGCTGCTGAGAACTCTCTCTGCACACATATCTTAAAAGTCTAATCAGATAATAATCCAAGAGGATCTATATTGGGCTATCAGTATTAAACATGCATGTAGACCAGATTAATAATCTATTCATGTACTTTGTAGTCCAGTCGTCAAGTTTGTCCCTCTGAACCAAGGCATAAAGTCAACAGTCGCATAGAAAACCCTAATGCTTGATTTCACAGGCAGATGGTGCATGCAAGACGTGCATCTCTAACTTGGACTGCACTCTGCAGGCACCCAAGAAGAGGCAGCTGAGGCGTACGACATCGCGGCGATCAAGTTTCGGGGACTGAACGCGGTGACCAACTTCGACATGAGCCGGTACGACGTGAAGAGCATCCTCGAGAGCAACACGTTGCCGATCGGGGGCGCCGCCAAGCGGCTCAAGGACGTGGCGGAGCACGCTGAGGCCAGCGTGAACGGGAGGGGGGCGGCGGACCACCACCATCTTGCTTCGCAGTTCGATGGGATTAGTGGCTATGGCTCCCTGCGCCACCACGGCTGGCCGGCCATCGCGTTCCACCAACCGCAGCCGCTGGGCGTTCAGTACCCCTATGGGCTGCCGCGGGGCTGGTGCAAGCAGGAGCAAGATACCGCCGTCGCCGCCGCTCACAGCTTGCAAGACCTTCACCAACTCCACCTGGGCACCAACACCCATGACTTCTTCCAACCTTCGTCGGCGCTTCATAACCTGGTAAGCATCAGCACCGAGTCGAGCTCGGTCGTGTACAATGGTAACATGGCCAGCAGTAGCGGAAGCTACCAAGGTGGGTATGTTATGCCGATGAGCACGGTGGTGACCGATCAAAGCCACACTGCAAACAGAGGCAGTTGTGGCGCGACCTTTGTGGACGACGAAGGGAAGCAGATAGGGTACGATAGCTCCTTAAACGCTTACTATCTCTCTCAGCAGTTGTCTTCTGGTGACGCTGCTAAGGGCGATGAGTATGAGCAAAGCAGTACTTGGACGCCAGCGTCAGCTCAAGCCATGGCATCAAGGTCTAACACCATGGCTGCTGCTGGCCATGCGGCTCCTCTTTTCACAGTATGGAATGATGCGTAGGTTTGGCGAAGAAGACGGGTGAGATGATCGCTTTCATGTGTTTTGTTCAAGCTTTGTGCTTTGTTAGGATGAGAATTCTTCTGATGGTTGGCAATGGCTTGTGAGAGTTGAAGAAGCTCGTCACAATTCTCACCAGCTGTTAATTTTGGGTTGGATCGGAAGGATCAAACTGTTAGAGAAAGAAGACCATTTATAATTGCCGGATTTATATCTAGAAATACACTCGAGTAATTCTAGATAAAGTATTCATATCTAGAAATATGAGTTATATGAGTTATCGACGTCTAACATCTCATGAATATGTAATATGTTTTCTTTGAAGATTTATTAACGTTTATATTACATTTGTTGATAAAGAAAAATATTCAAAAATAATTAATTATATTTTTTTAAGTTTTATTTTATTAATGAGAACACTATAACTCAAATAAAAGTAAAAGAAATCCGAGGGAGAAAAGACAGACAGTTCTTCAGTAGCAAAAGCAAATACACAGAGAGAGAACACATACAAAATGGAAACAGTCAGCCCTTAAAGCTTGTCTTTCTCTTCTTCGCTTCTACATTTATGCAGAGGTTCTTCCTCAAACATCTCTTTCTTAACTCCCCGCCCAGCAAACGTAAGATCGACGACGTCATGGAACATGAAGAAAGCCCTAGGAAGACTCTAACTTGTAGGGGGTTGGTGGTGGTGGGGATGAGTAAAGATAGGGGATTGGTGGGGAAGGAGGAGATGAAGATGGATGTGACTTGTGGAGGTAGGGAGGTGGAGGGGATGGTGATGGAGGTGGTGGAGACTTATAGTAGTAAGGAGATGCTGGAGATGGAGTAGGTGGTGGTGGGGACTTGTAGTAGTATGGAGGGGGTGGTGACGGGGATGGTGGTGGTGGGGAATTGTAGTAGTAAGAAGGTGGGAAAATTGGAAGCTGTGGTGGTGGAGAGTCATCACTCTGTGGAGAAGGTGGAGACTGGTAATAAGGAGGCGGTAGAGATGCCCAAGGTGGAGGTGGGGACTCGTAATAATATGGAGGAAGTGGAGATGATGGTGGAGGTTGTGGTGATGACATGTAGTAGTTTGGAGGTGGCGGAGAGCTATAGCTGTGTGCAGGGGATTGTGAAGATCGTGGTGGTGGCGGAGAGTTGTCATAGTAGAGAGGAGGAGAGGACTTCAAAGGGGGCGGTGGTGGAGATGGTGAAGGAGGCGGTGGAGAAGTGTGATAGTAGATAGGAGGAGAAGGGGACTGATGGTAGTATGGAGATGGTGGAGACGGTGAAAGAGATGGTGGAGAATTGTAGTAGTGTGGTGGTTCAGGTGACGATGAAGATGGTGGTGGAGATTTCTCCGGAGGTGGTGGCGACTTATAGTAGTTTGGTGGCAATGCAGATCGAGTCAATGGTTTGTGGTGGTGGTGGTGGTGGTGCATCTCACATTCCTTGTAAGGCTTTTGCGGTGCAAAACCCAGCGGCTTGGCCTTCAGCACCACCAACCCACGGCCAATAGAGTAGGCCTCGAGCTCCGCTCCGACATGAAGGCCGGTGGGCACGCTGCAGACGGATCCATCAGGCGCCCCCTGAGGCTCCACCTTGCAGGCGTCAGCGCCGTACTCCCCGTAGGGGAAGCCGTCGACGACAACGCTGTACTTTCCACGGCTGTCTGTGTGCCCGCGTGCCACCACCTCCTCACGACCCGCCTTGCATGTCACCTTCACAGTGGCGCCTGTGCATGTTCTTTAGTTAAGAATATATATATAACAATAGCTCATGGAAGAGTTTACAAAATGTATACAAAAATATGCAACATTATAATTTTTTTCTAATATTAGTTTTTCTACTATATTATAATATTTTTTATTTTTTATTTTACTATCAATAAATTGATGTACACACACACACACACACACACACACACACACACACACACACACACACACACACACATATATATATATATATATATATATATATATATATATATA